GAGTTACATCACTGAACTGGTAGAAATCACTAACAAAGCACCTGGAACTAGAGTTTGTTGAAGGGCTAGACCAGCTTTTTTCAGTTGTAGCCTCTTCTGCAGATGCTGAACGAGTATGTTTTTATTTGGACTGTTTCATTCAAAGCTGAGAAATTTAATTGGGAGCTCAAAAAGCAGGAACGCTTGTTTTTTCTCTTCTAGCCTGTGGAAAAAAGGGGGAGGAGGATAAGATTGACAAGTTTTGAAAATTTGAAAGAAAAAAATGACTCATTTTAAAGAGATGTAAGCAAATAGGAACTTAAGCTCAAATTATTTTTACCTAGGCATTTTGGAAATTTACCCCAGAGTATTAAATTATTAGCTTAATTAATTAACCAGAGTTTATACTTCTAATACCATAACAGTAAATACTAGTGTTTAATACATTAGTTAGTTGTTAATGTGTACCATGTTTTGATTAATAAAAAAAAGTTTCTGTATCCAAAACATTAAAGTTATGTTTATGAAATTTGAAATGCTGGTTTTGCATGTTTAATTAAATTCAACTTGCCATCTTAATGCAACTTAATACAAATACGAGCAAAATTTAGTCATATAGTGAATAAGAAATATATTTTTCACCATTTTATAGTATACTAAAATGTAGGATTTCTAAAAATCCAAATATGTTAAGCTTTATATTTAAATATGTATATATTAAAAATATTACAAGCTATCTACAATAAAGGCCCTGTTATCCGGCATCCATGGGGAATGGGGGCTGCTGGTTAATCAAATATGCTGGTTATCTGAGACCTATACTTCTCTCCAGCCCAGCAGGTTGGAGGTGTCTTTGACTGTTTGGGCCGCTACCCCTCCCGCTGTGTCCAACGCACCAGGGCTTTCGCTCCCTGGCGTCAGTGTGCTGGGGGACAGGGAGAGAGGCCCCATGCAGGTTGCTTTGCCCTGGTCTGTGGTCCACGAGGAAGAAGTGGGACTTGGCTTACAGCGGCAAAACTGGAAGTGCCACAGTGGGACAGATGCTGGTTAATAGAGCATTCTGAATGGTAAATGCTGGATAACATAGCTTTTACTGTATATTTAAAAAAATTAACAAACAATGTATAGACTTTTGTTGTTTTTTAGAGAGAGGTTTATTTTCATTGGTTGATACAACAATTGAAACATGCTAATAATACAATTAAGTACACTTTTATATAATTTTGTGTGTGTTTGTGTATGTAGGAAATGTACCAAATTGACTGTAAAAACTAGTGTTAAATCAACATGCTTTAATTGTTACATCAGCTAATGAAAATAAACTTTTCTCTAAAAAACCAACAAAAATACAATGGGAAATTTGATTAAAAAATGAATAACTTAAATTAGGCCTTTGGGTTGCTGATTTAAATCAGTGATATAAATCAACTTGATGTAAATCAATCCACCCTGACTTTCTCATTTTGTTGATTATTTGAGTTTTATATAACCTTTTTTGACATGGTAACACTAATAATAATAATACATTCATGATTTCAAAATATTAAGCAAGTGATAATGATTTATGACATCTTACTGAAGTTCATTATCTTTAAAACTCCCGGCTGGCTCTCATTTATGTTGTCAGGCAAGGTTCTTTGGGTAGATGTGATATCATTATTATACCAATAAATAGTTGGAAAAACATGTTTGCACCCTTTGTCAGGCCTAGGGAGACTCTGTTGTGTGTGGTCCAAGGTACAAAAGAAGCTAATTTACAGCAAGCATGTCTGTGAAAATGCAAATGAATGGAAGTTAGGAAGATGATAGGAAGGGAGTGGGAAAGGGAGGGAAATGTGCTAAGGCATGCAAGTGGCCAGCTGGAGGCAGGTTACCTGGGGTATCAGATGTCAGGCAGGTTCTAATGTGTAATAAATCCAAAGTCTGTATTAAGTCCATGATTTTTTGTATCCAGTAGATCTATCAAGTGAAGTTTGTAGGCTCTTCTACTAAAGGTGTTTTGTAAGTTCCCTTTGAGGATTAGAACTGAGAGATCAGAGAGGGAGTGATTGTCTTGTGAGAAGTGTTCCCCCACAGCTATTTGGATATTTTTGTCTTTGATGGATTTTCGGTGCTCGTTCATTGTGGTGCACAGTTGTTGTTTGGTTCCTCCTGCATATTTTCCATCAGGGCATTTGGTGCACTGAATGAGTTATAGTACATTTCTGGAGATCCAGGAATGGTGATGGCACTGTTGTGGGGTGTAGTTATGGTGGGGGGTGGTGGAGATATGTTGGGAGCTTGGCTGTAGCACTCACGATAATAGTAGGCATTATCAAGGTGCAAGGAAGTGGTTAGTGTTGCCATCCTCCTCAGGTATATTGTTGCTTTGGAACCCTTTTCTTTTGGCCTGAGAAGGAGTTCTCTTAGAGGCTGAATACTGTGTCCTCTTAATAAAATAATAAATCAAACTTATATTTTCTGATGTGGGTTCTACAAATGGAACATTTTTTGCTTGAAAATACATTTCAGATTAGTACTTCTTGCACCAGATATTCCTCAAGCCCTTTGTTCTTTCTTGTAAGGTACCAGTAAATGGAAAAATCTGACTTTTTCAACCCTGACTTTAACTTTCCTAGAGTTCATACTCTTTTAATTCATAATATCAAATTATTAATGAATACTTTTATTAATTTATAATTATAATAATCATTGTGGGTAGTCCTTAACTTACTTGTATTTAAGTAGCCCTATTGAAAGGCATGAATCCAAAGTGACAGTTCCAGTCAGTTCATTATGTCAATTAAATCAGACATGTTGGGCAGGTGCTGGCAGGGTCAGGGCTACCAACTTGTTGAGGTGCTGCATTGCAACTTAACATTTTCAAATTGACCATGATTGTATTATTTAAGATCCAAAAGAGAAGTGTTTTTCAGCACAATTCTAAATACTTTAGTCATTGACTTTTTTTTCTTATTTCAGGACTGTGGTTTCCACATTAGAGTTCTGAAATACTATTTTTTCACTCTTGTTCTAATAAGAGAATAATTCCTAAAGAACCTTTAAATTACTTGTGCTGCCTGACATGCTTTTTTAGCAACTTCATCCAGCATTTTGACTTATTTCGTACTCATATGTTAGGCCTTGTTTTAAGCCATCATTTCTGCAGCAGGAATTATGTCTGAAGTGGCTCACTGTGTTTTTTGCTGCCTTGAACTGGCTGGAAAAACTGCTTGAAGAACAAACTGATTCCTAATTAAGCTGAATAACATTGAGCGATTTGTTGAGGGGAGAATTCTAGGACAATTATAATAGTCATTTGTACCACTGAGCATTGTTGACTCAACTGTAAGCTTGGCAGATAATAGTTAAATCTGCTAATCAAAACAATTCAGGAGTAATGGAAGTACAAAACTCTAGTAATATGGAGGTCCCTAGCACTTGCTGATGTATAGTAGTTTTGTTCGAGAGACTGGGTTTTTTTTGAGGCTGCAAGGAAATATTTATGGAATTAAGAAACAAAACAAATCTTTACAGCTGTGAACACTTGACCTGATCCTCCATTACTGTGCAGATAAAATGCTTACTGAAAGCTGTATAGACAAGATATGGGATTAAGTTTTATAGTAATATGCCTGGACTTCATTGGAAGAAATTAAGCTTTAGGTAAAGTAGATACGTTTGAGACATCAGCGTAGGTCACATGTTTTTCATCGGTTGATGTAACAATTAAAGCATGTTGATTTACAACTAAATACAGTTTTTATACACACACACATTTTATATTTTGTGTGTGTGTGTAAATTACTGTTTGTGTACATAGGAAATGTACCAAATCTACTTTAAAAACGGTATTTAGTTTTAAATCAACATGCTTTAATTGTTATATTAACCAAATGAAAATCAACTTTTGTTAAAAAACAACAACAAAAATACAGTGGAAAAGTTGATTTAAAAAAAACTCCCAAAAGAATGATTTAATTTAGGCTTTTGGCTTGCTGATTTCAATCAATGATTGAAACCAATTTGATTTAAATCAGTCCACCCAGACTTTTGTCCTCATTGTATGTCTTCTCCTCTTTCTTTCTATAACATCTCCTTTCTTGCAATAGCTCTTTGTCTTCTTGTTAACTGTATTTCCCACCCCCATTAGTGGTAAAGTGGATAACACTGACCTCTAAAAGTAAAACCAAATGGTAGTGGAAACACTCCATCAGTGAGATTAATGAGGACCTGGGGAGTTCACACTTCTAAACTGTTGTCTTGAATAAATAACTGTGGATTTAGTGAATTGCACCAAATGGCACTTGATTTGCCTTTGTAAGATTTTAATTGCAGAGGCACAAACTTAACTTTATTTTTAAATGCAAATTTAGATTTTGTGCAGTCTTTGTATTATACTGTGGCAAAGGCCTATATTATGTAGGCCTCATGTTTGAGATCCTTTTTCTTGGTTCACTTGCAGATATAATTTGGCCAAATGTTCAAGAGTGGGATTTAGAAATGTTGCTGATTTGCCAGAGGGATTACTTAGTTATGACTGGAGATTTTGAAATATGGCTAGCACATATGAACATATTTGTACTCCCGTGAATTGGGATTTTCCTGGTGGGTTTTTTTTTTTATTTTTACTGTGCTAAGTCAGATGGTTGGTATCTAATAAGTATTTAGACAACTGGGGAAAAGTTCTGTATCTTTCTCTCAGAGTATAGAGGACTGAACTCTGCATGTTTTGGTTGACAAAGTTTATGCAAAGCTTGCCATAACTGGAGTGACAATTTTTAAATAAAAACGCGTTGGACTTGTACTGAAGCATGTGATAGTTGTAGCTAAAAGCAAACCAAGTGGAAAAAGATAAGATATTACTGAGTGTGCTGTGATATGCAGGGGTGTATAATAAATACAAGCTCAAGCTTAAATGGCATTTTAAACCTTGGCATACAATGTGCATTGTGTGTGTATTTTTTTAAGCATTTAAAATCTTTCAAAATGACTTCTGTGCTTCATCAAAAGTCCTTACAATTATGTCTCTCACAATATAGGAAACAGGGTTGCAGTACAAGAAATTCATGGCATATCCTTGGATTCTGACGGTTACTTGGCCAGTGGACATGGTAAAACAAGACCTTTTACTCAAATTTCCTTTTAACTCTTTGAGTACTGGTGCAACTTCAAAGTAGCTTTAGATGAATGCTCTTGATTTTAAGCGTGACCACAAGGTGCACCCAGGGGCTTCAGAAGGAATTGAAAAGGCTCAGCATCTTCATTCAGCCTTTTATCACATGCAGTAAATGTATGACATTTCTGTAGTTTTTTTTTTAATTGGCTGTGTTGAAATCCAAGACCAGTACCTGAGTGTGTTGTTTTTGTTTTTTTTTTCTCTTTCCAGCTGGCTTTAATTTATGTTTGTTACCTCTCCCTCTCACTTCTTGCCCACAAATACCTCAAAAACAATTTTTCTAGATTTACATTACCACTGCAGAGTAACTGAATACCCCATACTCAGCAACAAGTCTATCCAAATGGAACATGCTCTCTACAATTTATGTCTTTTTTCTATTGACTGTAGTTGTTGTGTCTCCAGGAGAGATGCCGTGGTTATTCCACAAAGGGCTGCAAATCCTCTTACGCCACTAGTTATGCACAACATAATTTACACTTCTTCTGTGGTAGGGATCTGTAACAGATTGGTTCTTAAGGTGTTTTATCCTTACTGTCACTCTTTACTGCAGTCACCTCTGTGAATATGGGAGCCAGAGGTGTTTTCTAAAATGGTGAGGTTACAGCCCCATGAGGGCTTTAAAGGTTAACATGGTCTCCTTCATTAAACAGGAGAACTTCTGCCTGAACTGGTGAGAAACTGTAACAAAAACCGAAATGGGACCGTCCTTTTACAGATCCAAATGGAGAGAAATTCAAGCAGCAAATAGGCTGGCCATTTCAAAATAAATGTGTTTTTTTTTTTTTTATACTTCTTCTCTTTTCCCCTACCCTTCCTTTCCCTGTAGGACAACGAAGACTATCCCCTCATCAAGCCAGGACCCTACTGGAAGAAGTTCAAAGCCAATTTCTGCGAGTTCACTGCAGTGCTGATCCAGCAGTGCCAGTGCAGCATCCTTTATGATAGTTACCTAATGGACACAGTCATCTCGCTGCTCACAGGGCTAGCAGACTCAATGGTCAGAGCATTTAGGCACACCAGCACTTTAGCAGGTAAACATACCTCCCATTGCTGCCACTAGAGTTTTAATGATTAACGTGGTAAAAGAAACAAAGTGATCAAAAGTCAAAGGACTGTCAGCTTTGTAAGGCAGAGATTGTCTTTCTTTGTGTCTTGATAGTACCTAGCATGTTATAGTTGTGTCTGTAATATAAATAACTCACTTCAGCATGCATCGGACAGAAATGTAGATGTGGTAGGGTTAGACTTCGGGCTTTAGGTAAAGCAGATGTGTTGAAGACTTCAGCACCCCAAAATTCTGTTTTGTGAAAGGAACTAGGAATACAGATTGTTTGCACAGTGGGTAAGGTGCATTTCAGTATTTAGCAACATCTCTTGTAACTGTTGAGATAATAAATCATTGCCTTTCATATTTAGTCTTCTTTCTCTAGTTCTCCCTTCCTACAAAAATTGATATGAAAGGGATTGTCTTATTTTCTATTTTTTTGCTTATTAGAATGTCTTACTAAAATTGTCATTTAGGAGGAAATCCTCTGACACAAATAGGTTTTTTTTTAATTTAGCAGGAATAGTGTTAATTTGATTTTTAAATGCTTTTTGGCAAAAAGGTGACTTTTATGTGGCATATCAGCTGAGTTTTATTTGCCTGGCTTCTCCTCCGTTTCAGCTTTGAAGCTTCTGACAGCTCTTGTAAGAGTACGTCTGAATCTTGATGTCAGTAAACATAATACTCAAAGGCTGTATGAGGTGGAGAAGAATAGGATTACTGGCAAGAGGACCGACTGCAGGTTGGATCAGCTAGAGAGAAAAAGGAAAGAGGTTGGCTTACTTTTTTAGTTGGGGAACTGGGTGAAGATGTAAGAATAGAGGTGGCTGGTGGCTTACTCAGGGATGATGTAATTTTTTGAGCTGTATGGAGGTGATACTTCCTAAGCATCCTCAGTGGTGTGCTGTTAAGGTTTTGTTTTAATGGGCTCAGTACTGTGGTAATGCATTCAAACAGAAATGTTTGAGGCAAATACTTGAGCTATGTACTATTCTTCGAGATTTCTGTTCTGGTACTTGTCTCTTTAAATTGGATATGATGGGTCCGTGAACTGTCTTTTTTTTTGTACATGGCTCTGTTTGCAGCAGTAGTTTTGACATGCATGTGTGCAAAACGGAGTTCCCACAAACTGTAAATCAAACTGTAGATCTTTTGCTCAAGTTTTACTTTGGACTTTGTCCAAGTGAAAGCTGAATGAAAATGCATGAAGGATTGTGGGATTTATCTTTTTATGAACAAAGGATTCTTAAAATGCCATGCGATTCCAGTTTAAAGTAAGGGTCATATGTCTCCTGCTACCCAGCCTCCATTTCCTTCCCTGTTACTTTCCCAACACCCCTTCACCACACAAACTCATTATCTTCTGAGGGCTGAGGTAGGTTTATACTATACAGACATGAACCCAGTCTTTACTCCACTGAGCTCACATTGAAATATCTCAGGGCAGTCTTTGAACTGCCTTGTGGGTATGGCTGTTCTGTAAGAAGAGGTAGCTTCTGTAGTGAAAGGTGGCTGGCTGGGGGGAAATACAGCTCACGGCTATTCTGAGCTTCATGATCCTGGTCGCTTGAGCCAACAAAGAAAGAAATGGCACCTTTTTATTGCACAGAATTGATTGCTTTTTACCAAATTATCTTTTTCAGGGCTTGGTGAAAATGCAGTTGTCCATTTCCTAGCTTACCTATCCCCTGCCATCAGTCCAGATTCATTAATAGACTATACACTGGCCATATAATGGGGTGTACCACTCCTTCCATGTATTACAAGGACAAGACTTCTCTTTCTGCCAGACATCTTGTGTGATATATCTTCGTTCCTGGATTGTAGTTGGTACCCGATGACCTTTCATTTTGATGTAGCAATACAAAGGCAAAACCCTGGTGTACTTGGGGTGCACTCCTATTTACTTGTGGCACCAATTTAAAATAAATATTGGGGATTTGCACCAGTGTAATGATATGAGAGGGGTGCAGATTTTCCCTAGTATGAAAGGGGTTTCTGGACCCCCTACTCAGAGAACATTCCATTCTTTTTTTGTGTTTCAGTGTGAGCAGAAACCCCTGGAAATACAGAATATGATGAATGCAATTTTCAAAGGGACATTTTTACAACGTTATCGGTAAGAATAATAATAGTACCCAAAGACCCTCCACTCCCACCATACAAATGCTAAATGCTAAGCTAATGCATAGGAAGATACTCTTCTTTTCTTGAAGCTTAAAATTCAGCTCAGCTTTCAGGAACAAAAGGTATAAAAATGAATCTGTAAAGCATATGTACACACCTTAAGGGAATCTTTTATATATTGTTTAGATGCTAAGTCCAGCATAAATCCAAGGGGCAGTTAGAGTTCCAAACAAAGCATTTAAGACTGAATTGTTTGAACAAACTGATTTTGGTTAAGAAAATGACCTTGGTATGTATTGTCATTCACACTGCTTTTCTTTTCTCCCTCCTGGCAAGAGAGCAGTAAGTTTTATAGCTGAAACATCTTCCCAGCTTCAAAATAATTGTAATGAGAAATTTAGAGATAAAAGCAGGTCCTTTAAGTAATAGCAGATTCTCTGTGGGGTATATAGATTAAAGACACAGTTTACACATTAATATATGGATACATGAAATGCTACAAGGAGCAGTTCTGAATATTTACAACTTGTGGTTTTTGTACTGGGGAAAAATAATTAAATTGATACTTTTGGGCATTTATGAATTGGTTTACAACACACTTGTATAATTTTACAGTGATGTGATTCCTGAGATCCGGGCTATTTGCATTGAAGAAATTGGTAGCTGGATGAAAATGTACCCTGATACATTCTTAAATGATAGTTACTTGAAATATATTGGATGGATGCTTTATGATAAGGTGAGGTTGTATTCTTCTTTCTATATTCTAACTGAAAAGTTACTTTTTTTGAGACGAGCTTCAAAGTTTATATAAATAAATGCTTCCTTCTCCAACTTCACATTTTTTTCCTTCACTAAATAATGGAGACCATTTACATTTCTCAGCCTTAACCACTAAGTTTTGTGATAAATGTATAATAGTCATCCATAGTTTGTATGTATAGCTGTGTGTGCGCGTGCTAGTTTTATAGACCATTCATTTTTCAATTACAAATAAAGACCTGAAATATTTTTAGAAATATGTAATTGTTGCTATCATTTGCTTCATGCAGTAAGTACCATATTTATTTGAACACAAGACAAGTTTTTCCCCCCAATTGGCACTGCTCAGTATGTGTGTGTAGTCCAGATACTTCCCACTAATTAGCCCCCACTCAACTGGAACTAGGTGTTCTTGTCATAATTCCTGGGATTCTGCAAAACTTTGCATGCAGATGAGGTGCAGGGCAACCTGGCCCTGCTTTACCTCATGTAGGCCAGGGCCATACTAATCACATGTAACAGGTTGAGAGAGGGGGCAACAGAGAGATTCTAGGTAAACTGTTTGAGGCCCTGTTTGATATTTTCAGACATTTAAGGCTGGTGAAGAAACAGGAATCATTGAAAAAGGGAAAGAAAGGCATAGCTCAGCAGTGGGAGTTAAGAAGCAATAAAAATGTATGCAGTGCTGTGGCCTAGTAGGACTTGAAAGAGTGCGCGGTGAGGGGGACTACACATAAGGGGCCCTACCTTATGTCTTATTCAAATGGGCTGCACTAACACATCCTTGTGGCAGACTCCCATTTGCATGTTTCTCCAATTTGGACCATTTTTTTATAGTTATGTTCAATGGGTGCATCTATATGTGCACTTTACTGTAGAGAAGACTAATTGGCTCTGCAGTAAAGTGTCACAGTCTACATGTGTGCTGGTATTATGGCACAGTACATTAACTCTGCCATAAATAGTACTGTCAGAGGCAGTACTGTCTTATGGGGGGGTTATTTACTATACTGAAATGCACATATAGACTGAAATGCATACATAGACTGTGATGGGGCCACTGGGGCATGAGGGAGCTAAAGTCTGTGGGCTGCCTGCCAGCTAGTCACATAACTGTAGGTTCTGCCCTTGTGCACTAGCCAGCCCCTCCACCACCAGACAGCGCCACCCGGAGTCTGGGGCTGACCCCCCTGAACCTGTTACCAGCCCAGGGGTTCTCTGCCCCAGCTCATAGTGCTGCTGTCTTGGGCGCATGTGTAGGCATTGCAACTGGGAGCAGTGTACTCCAGCTGAAAATGCTCCGGGATTTACTGCATCACCTTAATTTCATGTGTAGATGCTCCCAGTGTTAGCTGCATTTAAGCAGCTTCATAGCTGGCTTTCATTGCTCAGGACATACTGCTGTTGTCAGAAGTTTAATGATAGATGGTGTATTTAGTGAAATTTCCTTGTATGCAATCGTAAGACAAGGGGCTTTTCTTCTCATACTAATTGGAGGGAAAAACCTCAGCTTGTATTCAAGTAAATATGATAAATATTTCTAGAAAAGGTCTTTATTTCCGAACAATTGTAGCCTATGTTTTAAAATATAATGATAAAATAAAATGATAACGATTATGTTCTAGTTTAGGTTTAAATTGTTTTTAATTACCTTCCTCTATTTAAAATAATCTTTTCCCTTCGTTTCTCAACTCCAGTGACATTTTCCCCTTTACATTTATCAACTTTTTCTGCACTGAGTTGAGAGGAGCAGTATGTTTCTCTCTTTAAAAAAATTAACTGCGTGCTTTTCATTCCCGACTTGCCAATGATGATTAATTATAGGAAGAAGGATATATTTACCATGAATGGTTAATTATTCCTTTCCAGGAATATACTTCTGCAGGTCACCCTTTAAAATAAAACATGAATTATTTAGTTTCCCTTTATAAGTAGTAAAACACCTCTCCTTTTGCATTAAGATTATAGAGTATGTTGTAGTTCTTTTTATAGAAGTTTAGTTCAGTGAAAAGACAGTAGAGGGAGCACAAAGCATCTTGTTTTTTTTTAAAGCAGTGATTTAGATGTTGTTAAAAAAAATAATCTACCAACCATGACCTTCTGCCCCACAAAGTCCAGAGACTTTTCAGATGAGAGCACAGTTTTGGAAGGCATGCCCATTTTGGAAATCTTTCAAATTAAAAAATAACATGTCCATTTTTTTTGGGTGTTGGTTATAGCCATGTTTGTCTAAGGACATAAGCAGACAAGGCTCTTTGGGTAAAGTGATATCTTTATTAGACCAAGTAAATAGTTGGAAAAATTTGTTCTTTATAAGCTTTTGGGCACAGACACACTTCTTTGGGCGTAGGGAGAGTCTGCTGAGAGTCTACTGATGTTTGTGTGCTGTCCTGCGGGGAATAGAAGCTTAAGCAATATGCAAAATGCAGGTCAGTGAAATGCAAATGCATGGCAGGGAAGCTTAGAGGGGATAGGAGTAGGTAGGTGCAAGACAGGTAGGTTGTTTGGGGAGAGGAGAAGAGGGGAATGTTGACCAATGGTAAAATGTAGAGAGTTACCTGGGGTTATCAGATGGCAGGCAAGTTATAATGTGCCATAAATCCAGTGTTTATATTCTGTCCATGATTTTTTGTATCTAGTAGGTTTATAAGTGAAGTTCATAGGTTCATCTATGAAAGATGTTTTGTAAATTCCCTTTGAGGATTAGAGAGATTTGAGAGAGAAAGCAGTTGTCTTATGAGAAATGTGCACCTACAGGTAATTGGGTATTTTTGTCTTTGATAGATTTTTCGTGTGCTTTCATTCTGGTACACAGCTGTTATTTGGTTTCTCCTACGTAGTTTCCATCAGGGCATTTTGTTGTTGTTGCTGGAACGTGACTTCTCTTGCAGTACAGTATGGTGAAATTTTAGAAAAGTTGGTGTCTTTTAAATGGAGTGCGCAGCAAATCTGCTGGCTTTTACATGAGACTGGAAGCAGCTTTTTCAAATCTGGAAGTAACTGCTGAAGCAAGACTAAGTGAGATAAAATAAGATCTGGATTGCATTTCCAATCACATGTCTGATAAAATGACAACATTCTATTGCATTCCAGGCTGTGACTTAAGCAGTAAACCATTGTTAAATCACAGAATCCTCAACAAAATAAGAGTAGTGCACTTTGGGGGCTGTGACAGAAATGTATTTATAATAATCTACATTTTATTCCCCACTTACCTTCCTCCCCACCCTTTCCCAGCATTTTTCCTTAAAAATATTGTACACCATTTTTGGTAGGGATGAGTGATAGATACCAACACCTCCCAGAGCAAGTTTCCCTTAGAGCATAAGCTTAGAGACATTTACTAAGCCGTTTAGGCCCCCAAATATACTAAGCACAAAATATTCACAAAAATGTATTGAGTATAGGAAAACATAAATCAGATAATCTATAGCTTTCCAAAGTAACCTTCAGCTTTCCCTTTTCATTTTTTTTTTTAAATTTATTGTTTGGTCTTCAGAGGTTGATTCTAATCTAAATGGCTCCTGTTTGCCACAGAGATGCCATTTTAACATGACATTTCTATAGGAAGACTTAATTCTGGGATAGAAATTGTTTCCTATATCCAGCAGTGCGTTCTGAATTCATGCCTCTTAGCAGAGCTGAGTTCAAAATAGAATACGACTGTTTCCCTGTGCTCATCTAGTAAGAACTGAGGAACAACATCCCAAGGGGGTAACTTTTTGCTGAAATATCTTCACTAGTTTATTTTTGCCTTCTATAAAGAATTAATTGTTTGCTTTTTAATGAGGGACAGTCCTTAATAAAAAAGTTAAATACAGAATCTGGCAACTGTGTTCAATAAAAACACCTGCTTAATTAACCCACTTGCCTATTGGCCTGTTTCTCAAACTAGGGCACCTGAGGATTCATTTGGAGCTCAAAGAAACACTTAGTTGTCTACTGTGGGTTTTTTGGCTAGCAAGTACTAATGTGAACAGTTGGATATGGAAGAGGAGGGATAGGCAGTGGAGAAAAAAATCTAGGCTAGGGTAAGGGCAGCTGAGGAATGAAGAGGAGCAGGAGTAGGGACAGAAATAGTAAGGAAAGTAAAATGTGCACAGTTTGCACATGCTTAGCACATCCATGTCTCAGTGCAGCTTTTTACCTATGTGGGGGTGTTGAGTGCATCTCTTTCTAGAATATGAAGAAATCTTGGTAGAGGCGATATATTTTATTAGACCAACTAAATAGCCTCTCTGAGATGAAAACTTCATAACGTTTACCAAAAAACAAAAATCTAACACCCACGGAGCTGGAGAATCCCACCCCTGCCTTTTGTTTGAGCTGAATTTGCATACCTGGAAAACAACCTCTACACAACAGAACTGCCTCAGCTAGGAGATGTATTCTATCAACCCTCTCTCCTGTGCAATAGAAAATATCGTACCAAGAAGGAAGAAAAATTCAACCCCTGTTTGCCATCAGACACCAACTGCAGCTACGATCCCCGCTCTCCCCAAGACAAAACGTAAGGTGTTTGTTGTGGGAGACTCCATCCTGAGGGGGACTGAGGGGGCAATCTGCCTCCTCGACCCCTTAGTCCAGGAGGTCTGCTGCTTCTCAAGGGCCCACATTGGGGACATTGCGGAGAAGATCCCAAAGTTCCTCTGGCCCACAGACCACTATCCTATGCTCCTTATTCATGTGGGCACCAATGACACGGCTTGGAGCGCTCCCAGCTGGGTCATGAGGCACTATAGGGATTTGGGAGCGGGGCTAAAGTTTCTGGGGGCACAGGTGGCGTTCTCGTCGATCCTCCCAGTCTTGGGCTATGGGCTGAGGAGGGAGAAGAGGATCCAGGTAGTGAACCAAAGACTGTGGCGCTGGTGTCATCGGGAAGGCTTTGGCTTCCATGACCACAGCCCGCTCTTTGGCAAGAGAGGC